CACCCCAAATAATTCTGTGTCTTACATAAGATTGACTGATTAGGAAAATTTAAATTATATCCAGAACCTTCTCTGAAAGAGAGTTTTAGAAACATAGTTTTAGCCTTTTTAGTACAGGAAGTTTGCTTGAAGAATACTTGAAAGGATACTCCAATCTATCTGCTATAGACTACCCCTCTCATTATTCAGCATTATATTTTCCCTTTTTCAAACCTTCCCAAAATATCAATAGCAAAAACAGTATACTTTGAAGACATAATATACCAATGCTCTATAGAAACAAAAATCTATAGAGCTTTTCTCAAAAGGAAGGATTCAAAGTCTCAAACATTTCATGTGATGTGATATGACTTTATGTGATGATGTGATAATCATGCCTATGCTAATTCCATCACAATTCTAGTTTGATATGTTGTAATGCATAGACTAAATTATAAAGTAAGCCACTGCCAAAATAACCTACCCATATACACACACATACACACACAGAAAAAATAACCCTTCATGGCCTTCAGTTATAAGTGGTTATAAGTCCAATTTGTATTGACTTTCTTCATCCACTGCCAGTTACATTCTCTCTTTGTCAATTAGTTGTATTAACCCAGGGTTTCATCCCTAAAGGATGTGGCCTTTGGGTGGTCTTATCTCATGAGTTTGCAGTAGTATTCTATTTAGTTATTGGAGAGTAATACCAGGCAACCCCTGGCTTCCAAATACAATCTTCTCTGCTGCCATTGTGTTTTAAATTCCTGTTTTCCTCAATCAGAGATCAGTTGCTCCAGCCAACACAGGAACCCCCTTTTTGCCACTGGCAGAGTGGTAAAAGAACTCCATATAGAAATCTCAACTTCCGTGCTCGCTTCAGCAGCACATATACTAAAAAAGAAATCTCAACTTCCAGTTCATGAAATAATTGTTGGGTTCTTTGGTAGGATCCATTTTTACTTGTTTATTTAGACCTCTAAACCAGAATCCAGTGTCACAGGGTATGAAGAATACTTTACCAGTGAATCATTAGATGTAATATTGAGAGTTCCCAGTCTCTTTCATTCCTTGGTTCCTGAATTCAAACATTCTGGCTATCAGAGAAAGAGCATCATATATTGGTCATTGGCTTAGAACATAATTTTCCTATAATTCAACCTTAAAAGGAGTGGTATTCTAGTTGGAATTAAATGCTCAAGCAGTGCTTCTTCTTTTATTTCCTGCTTGATCACAAATTTATATATATTACAGCTACTTGATGACAGAGTAATGCTGTGTATACCTGACTTTAGATAATACTGTTCAAATGAGCAGCTTTGGGCATATAATCACTTGGTGTCCCATGATGAGACAGTCATTTAATCTCTAGTAGGGCCAAATAGTGTTTTTTAAATATGTGTGTGTGTTTATGTGTTTGTATGTGTGTATGTGTGTGTGTGTGTATATATATATAACTATATTAAATATATATTTAGTATATATTATACATATATTATAATAGTTATATAAAATGTATTTATATAGTTATATATACACAAATAAATATACATTAATATTATAGTTATATATACATATAGAAATATTTATTAACTATATAATATAAATATTTATATATATAACTATATATATGTATATATATATATACACACACATATATTTGTATACATATATATATGTATATGTCAAAACAAATGTTTGACTTTCTCCCCAAACCAAGGGTTCTCCTTTTTGATTTTCTTATTAGGCTCAACCACAGGCTTCATACAGTTACTAATTAGCTCCAAGAACATTGGATATTATTGATCATAAGGTCCACGTGGCAGAGTTGCTTCTTCCTCAACTTAGACTTCCTAGAGCTCTTTATACTACTCTGGGCTCTTCTCAAAGTTTATAGACATGATTTACTCAATATGTGCATCCAAGTGGTAAACTGAGATGAATATATGTTGCTTCAGCTATCCATAAATGCCCACCAAGTATTATATGTTTTTATTACTGATAGGAAATACATACTAAAGCAACTTGTGTTTCACTTTGGAAGGGGTATTCCAACATGCGTCAGACCCAGAAATGTTCCAAGTGTATTAGGTACCCGAATCCTGGGGTTTACTTTCTTCTACTCTATGTACTTTACCAGGGCCTTTAAAACCATTGCCATATAAGCATGATATCAATACAGTACACCAGCATGATGTCCTGTGGAATGTTTTGATGATCCAAGTCCTATGAACTAAATAATGACACAGAACCAGCAAATTGACATGGTCTTAAATAGGACGGAAAAAGTATAATGATGACTCCTAGGTGAATGCAAACTGCTTTTTATCCTTATTGGGATAGTAAAAAAAAAAAAAAAATCCCCAGATTAAGACCTAACAAATATCAGAAACCAGGAAAGGAACTACAACTGGAATAGTATCATTGTGAATTAGAAACACCCCTGATGAAGTTTGTGCTTATTCACTGCCATTCTCCAAGAGCTTTCTGTCTTCTACACAGGTCAAATAGGCAAAGGTGCTGGGCATGTGGAAGGAATTTCCACCTCTGCATATTTCAAGACTGAAATGTCAGCACTGGGCTCTGTGAATCCTCCCGGGGAATATGTAGATGTAGATCAAAGCACATTTGGTTTGGGTGAGTTTACAGGTATTTGAGGAGGCTGAGTTTATAGGAATGACTTCTTAAACCACTGGGCCGTCAAGGTAGCATCCTACTCCTGTCAGGGTTAGGAACTTGCAAAAGTAGGGAACCTCTAAAGCAGCTACAGGATAAAGGAACTCTGCCACAGTCTACACCAACAGAACGCATGCTGTGTACCCTGCTTCTCTTCTTCCATAATGCACTTCTAAATCAAGGTCTCAGTTCTGATTAGCAGAACTCAAATAATATCTAAAATCCAAACTGCACAGGAATCTGGGGAAAATGGTTTCTAGGTTCCAGTCCCTGCAATACAGGAAGATGTGCTAGAGTAGAAAAAGATGGCGTGTTGTTTTCAACCATGTTTTTACCACGGTAGACTCTCCTATAACTTTGTAAGCCTTGGCTTTCATGCCAGCCTCTTTCAAAAGTTCCACTGTATTTACAAAAGGGCAAGTGTCAATTAAAATGTAAGGAAGAATAGAAGCCATTTTTATAAAAATGTTCACAGAATTTAAATTACCTTAACAGTTATATACTTAGTCTTTGTTCTCTTATAAACTTCAGTCATATTGGGGAGACTGTAACAATTCCTATCTAGGTTATGGAAAAGGTCTTTATGATGAACTTTTCTTCTGAGCACTGTTCTCTAATACTAGATGTATTAAAATCTATGCATTAACTCTAGAAAAACAGATTTTATTTCTAGTATTTAACTTTTCAGTGTTCAATAAATTAAACTTCTGTAACCTTTAAGCTTTTTTATTATCAACCTACGTTATATTAACATGTAACACTTACTGAGCATTTACTGGGTGCCTGGCACTATGGTAACGATTTTTACTATCTAACTTCATATGCACAGCAACTGAAGTGGGTGCCATCACAATCATTATTTTGCAGATGTGGAAGCTCAGACCTAAAAAGTGAAGTAACTTGCTAGCGCAGGGTAATAAGCAGTGGAGCTAAGATTTGACTCAGGCAGTGTTAGATTCCAGAGTCCACAAACCTAACCCTGTGACTACCCTCATAATTTTATTCTCACTCTCTGAAGTACCTTTTGTTTCACTGTGCATTTTTTTCTTTATCTCATAAAGACTTACATATTAAGAAAGGAGGTAAACAACAAGAACATCAGTGAAATACCCAACAGAATTTTTTTAGAGCTCAGATAAGGTACAAACAAAAATGTAAACAATCTGCAAAAAAATGGCACTGGAGAATTACAGAGGGTGTGAGTGTTAGAATTACAGAGAGTGTGAGTCTTAGCCAGTTACATTATTGAGAAACAACAATGATAAATAACTATAATTTCCTATGGTAATAAATTGATGTGGTTTTAGGACTGAGTTGACAAGTTGACTTAGAAAACTATTATTAGAACTAGTTATGCGTATCCAGATTTATAATAGAAATTTCTTTTGAACTCTATAATCTTAACTATTTCATTGTCATTGATTAACTTTTAAAGTATATTATTAAAATATCAATTTGAGAAATATCTATGTTAAGTCTTTATCTTAAAGGACACAGGTGACATTTCGTACTTTCATGTGGCATTATTTAGCATTGTCATTTAGACATTTTATATATAAAAGCAATGTCTCCACAATACGATTTTAATCTATAGAACATGACAAGGTGGGTACTATTTCTTTGTTTCGAGATACTTCTGAAGCCTCCTTTCTCCAAAATATATTAAGGGACATGTTTAATGAAGTTCCAACTTTGAGTTATACACACCTTAATGTGATTAATAATCAAATGGCCTTTTTCCTAATAATTATATGGGATATAGTTTATTGTCTACCATTGTCCTTTTACATTTATTTAGTGGTGGGTACTTTTTGCTGTCTCTAGATGAAAATTTAGAATCCTGCATTTTTTTCTCCTCTCTCTCAAGTGCCCCTCTTTTGACTTATAGAGAACAAAGAAGTCCTTCCCACCTGTCTCCACGTGTGGAGGTGGGATTCATAGTGCTCCAATATCTATCCCAAAAGACATCTTCAAACTCCATTCTTTCACCTTTTATATATATCTGTATACCTATACTTATATCTAGTGGGTATGGGCTTATCTTTATTCAGTCTATGTAAGGTCTGTCATCGAAGTACATTTATTTTGATACTTCAACTAAAACTTCCATTTCAGCACTTTGTCATACATTTCAAAATATTAACTGCTGTACAAAATTTTATTACTTATATAGTTACAATTTGTCTACTTCATAATTTTGCTTACGAATGATCCAGAATTATGCTGACACCTTTTGTACTCCTAACAGTATGGATTTAGTAATGAAGTCTTAGAAATTGCCCACTAAATATATTTTGAACTGACTTGATAGAAAATGGAAACCTATTCATTTTTATCTTTAGTTTCAGGTGCAGCATTACGTTTCTCAGAGTCTGGTAACCCTGGGAAGTTGCAGCTTGTTGAGAAAATCTATAGTATCTCTGCTTTTATCAGAAATAAACAGCTTCACTGATGTTCTGGGTACCATCGATCAGGTACATATAGCGTGAAACTGTAACTCTTATTTATAGTTAATACAGCTATAGACTTTTCTTTCTTTTTGTCCTCTCTCCACTTCTTGACAGGTTGATATTTTAGGTATTACCTTTTTCCCCCTAGAGTATGTGAATACTCTTACTGTCTACTAAAATTTTAAAGATACTTTCAGAAAATAGTTTTCAAAATAATACCATCTTATCATCCTTACATGTATATTTATGCCAAAGGTGCCAGTGGTGACAAGGAATGCTTAGATGAATGGCCTTAAATCTCTCTAACTGGGCAGCATATTCCTAAAGCAAAACGGTGAGAGAAAAGTGAATGGGAGAGGATGCTAAATGTAAAAAAACAAAACAAAACAAAAAAAAAACCTCTCACCAGTGGTTTTCATTTCTAATTGCTCATGAGAATCATCTGGTTAACTTCTAAATATCCCATTGTGAAGCCATATGCTAGTTCAATTAAATGGAGGTCTCTGGGCTTAAGATGCAGGTATTGGTATTCTTAAAGCTCTTCGGGTATCCCAATGTGCAGCCAAGGTTGAAAATTCATGCTCTAGGCCCTCTCCTCTGTGCAAATTCTTACATCAATGCTGATAAACGTGTCTAAGGAACTGAAGTCATTAACATATTTTAATGTTGACCCTGGTATATCATGTGTTCACTTTGTCAACCCCTGTAATATTATTACTGTCTCTGTGGTAGAATTAAGCACAATTAAAGGAAATCAGAGACAGGAAGATATGTTTTGGTAAAGAAGAACAAATTTAATTAGAAAAAATATGTATATAATTTTAAATACTGTTTATTACTTATATCTAAGTTGCCTACATTTGACAATATATTCCAAAAATATGTATAATCTAATTGAATTCACTGAATTACATGATAAATCATCTAGGCAGCAATTTTTCAAGGGACTACTAAATGGTAAACTCTCTTAAGTGCTCTGTGAGATTTTTTTAAAGTAATTGTTACTGATGTTGAGGAGCTAAAAATTCATTTGGGAAACAGTGAAGTGCTAAAATACTTGGTGTTTGTAGGAGCTCCAACATCAAGAAGTGATCAAGGTAGGTTGCAGGTCCCTGAAAGGACTTCATGGATAAGAAACAACTTGAAAAATGTATTTGAAAAACAGAAGATAACAGAATATAGAGGCATTGAGTGTAATTTTTAAAAATGTGTGCCCAGGGTCACCTGGATAGCTCAGTCGGTTAAGCATGCAACTCCTGGTGTCAGCTCAGGTCATGATCTCATGGGTCATGAGATGGAGCCCTACATGGGGCTCAGCGGGGGGTCTGCTTGAAGATTCTCTCCCTCTGCCTCACCCCCACTTGTGTGCATTCTCTCTTTCTAAAATAAATAAATAAATCTTAAAAAAAAATAAAATGTGTGTGCAGCATTCTAAAAAGCAAGGTAAGGTCATGGAATTTAAAAACAGGATGCAGTGTGGGAAATGACTTTGATCAAATCAGATTATTTGTGTGGAAAATAGAAAAGTACAGACAAATTTTTATTTACATATCCTTATTTAATCTTCACAAATCTCCATGAAGTAGTTGTACTTTTTACCTAGTATATAGATAAAGAAATCAAACCTTAGAGTGATTAAGCAACTTGACCAAAATTGCAGAAAGAACATATTTTAAAGCCATAATTCAAACAGAGGTATTTTGATTGTAAATTCACTTGAGAATAAGAATAAGAACACAACAGTAACTACTTTTTGGCAGGTGATAATGCACTAATATGCTTTACATGAATTTTTCCAATTGAGATGTTAGTATAGTTGTTTAAAGACAAAGTAATGGAAACTATTACTTGGCATTCTTGTAGTAGACAACAACATTCACTCCAGCCATTTTAAGCAGAAAGGATGCATAAGTAGCTATGGATTGTTGAGAGGGCTCAGGCTGTACTTTCACGAACGACTCCCATAATCATACAGCAGAATTTGGCTACCATAGGATTTGCTGCCTTTATCATCATGACTGGGAAGCTGCCTGCTGAATCACCAGTTCCAGAAAGCAGTCCTGCCACAATGTACAACAGACAAAGGTGTGCCCTGTGCTGTACCTGTCCCACTATGTGATTCAGTTTGAACTACAAAGTTTGTGTGAGTGCATTTGTTTCTAAACCAACTTTCTATTCATAACCCTATCAGCAAGAGAGTATAGGTAATGTAGTTTAACAAAAGCAGAGGAACGGGATCAAGATGGCAGGATAGGAAGATCCTGAGTTTACCTCCTCCCGTGGACACGCCAAGACTACAACTACACATAGAGCATCTCTCTCTGAGAAGAACATGAAGACTATCAAAACAACTTTAATGCAGCTAAAGATATAAAGAAAAAGCCACATCAAAAGGGGTATTTTGGTTGGGACCTAAAACCTCCAGCATGGCAACCCACAAGTGAAAGAGATATCACAGGTGTGGAGGTCTTTCCTGAAGAGTGAGAGGTTCAAGCCCACATTGACCACCTCCTCCCTTCAAGGATATGCACCAGGAAGGTAAGCCCCCATAATATCTGGCTTTGGAAATCAGAAGGGCTTAACTCTAGGATCTTTGAAAATCAGTAGGGCTTAGCTTCAGGAGAGCAAGAGAGCTATAGGAAACTGACATTGTTCTTCATGGCCTGAGCACAGTCTCACTCACTGTGGGACCCAGCATAGAGGCAGCAGTTTGAAAAGCACCTGGGCCATACATGAAGGAGATTTACTGACTACTTTTAGGGCAAGTGCTGGAGGGGCAGGGATCTATAGGAACTTTCTCTGGGAGCAAAAGTGCTGGCAGACACCATTTTTCTTATCCTCCTTCAGCCTAGTTAGCCCATGCTAGTTCTGAACACTCTCCATCTACCTTGACAGCACTGGGTGATCCACTCAGGTGTTCTGTGGCTGCCCTGTGCAAACCCACCTACGCTGCCAGGTGCCCTTCCAAAGTGGCTCCCACCCTGCCATACATGGTGGGCAGCCTTGGCTAGGTCCAGGACTCCTCCAAAGCAACTTCTGCCCCAGAGACAGAGGGAAGAGCCCTACCCAGCAGCACATCCACAACAGTTGCCACCAGGCCTCCCAGCCAACCACACCGGGGACTAAACCCACCCGCCAGCATACCCACAGCAGCTGCAGCTAGTACTCTCAGCCAACAACTGGGGGCCGCACACAGTCTACACAAGGGACAACCTTGGAGTGCCTGGGTCTGATGAGCAGGAGGTATTGCATTCCTGTGTCCCACAAAATGCCTTCAATATCAGCCCACTACTTTTAAAACCATGAAATGTAGCTGACCTACCTAAAACACAGAAACAAGTGTAGAGAGTCAGGCAAAATGAGGAAACAGAAGAATATGTTCCAAATGAAAGAACAAGATAAAATCTCAGCAAAAGAACTAAGTAAAATGGAGATAAGCAATCTACATGATAAAGAGTTCAAAGTAATGGTCATAAAGGTACTCGCTGAACTCAGGAGAAGAATGGATAAACACAGTGAGAGCTTCAAAAAAGAGATAATATAAAAAGGAACCAATCAGAGTTGAAAAAATGCAATAACTGAAATGAAAAATGCACTAGAGGGAATCAACAGCAGATTAGATGATGCAAAAGAATGGATGAACAATCTGAAAGGGTAGTGGAAGTCATCCAAACTGAACAACAGTTCAACAACAACAACAAAATGAAAAGAGCATTTTAAATGAGGATAGGTTAAGGGACTTCTGGAACATCATCAAATGTATAACACTCACATTATAGGGATTTCAGAAGAAAAGAGAAAGAAGGGGCCAGAAAAATTATTTGAAGAAGTAATAGCTGAAAACTTCCCAAACCTGTGGAAGGAAACAGATAATCAGATCCAGGAATCATAGAGAGCCCCAATAAAGTTGAAGTCAAAGAGGTCTACACTAAGACATTAATAATTAAAATGTCAAAAATTAAAGATAAAATATTAAATGTAGCAAGAGAAAAGCAACTAGTTACATACAAGGAAATACCATAAGAATGTCAGCTGATTTTTCAGGAGAAATTTTGCAGACCAGATGAGAGTGGCATGATATATTCAAAGTGCTAAAAGGAAATACACTACAACCAAGAATACTCTACCCAGCAAGGCTATCATTCAGAATTGAAGGAAACAATAGTTTCTCAAACAAAAGTTAAAGGAGTTCATTTTCAGTAAACCAACCTTATAATAAATGTTAAAGGGACTTCTTTAAGTGGAAAAGAGGCCATAAGAACGAAGAAAATTATGAAATAAAAAAATTCACTGCTAAAAGCAAACATATGGTAAAGGTAGTAAACCAGTCACTTACAAAGCTAGTATGAATGTTAAAAGATAGGTATATCTATAATAATTAGTTAAGGGATACACAAAATAAAAAGATGTAAAATATCATGTCAAATGTATAAAATATGGGGAGGGAGTAAAAAATGTAGTGCTTTTACAATGGGTTCAAAGTTAAGTTACCATAAACTGCAGAATACTTAGGATGTTCTATATGAACCTTATGGTAACTGCAAACCAAAAACCTGTAATAGATACACAAAAAAATAAAGAGAAAGTAATCCCAACATAACACTAAAAAATAATCATCAAATCACAAGAGAACAAGAAAAGAAACCGAAAACTACAAAAACAACCAGAAAACAAGAGAATGGCAAAAAGTTTATACCTATTAATAATTGCTTTAAGTGTAAATGAACTACATGCTCCAATGAAAAGACATAAGGTGACTGAATGGATAAAGAAAAAAAAAAAAGACCCATCTATATGCTTCCTAAAAAAGACTAACCTCGGAGACAAAGACACATATAGACTAAAAGTGTGGGAATGGAAAAGATATTCCATGCAAATGGACATTAAAAAAAAAATCTGTGGCAGGAAATGACGACAGAGGAGTTGGGGACCCTATTTCAACTGGTCCCCAGAATTGAGCTGGTTATCTACCAGACCACTCTGAACAACCACGAAATCAGCCTGAGATGTAAGAAGATATATCT